GGATGGGGATTTTTGGACACAACTTGTATTTCCCCAGATGCTGGAGTTTGTGAAATTTACTTCGGGCTCTTTCAACTTAATCAAAATGCTTCCACCCAGTCCTCTATCCTCCACTACTCCTGCTCAAAATATTGAGAAACATTTTTTTGAACAAAATTATTTTAGCTTTACTTGCCAGTTGAGTGTGGGATTCATTTTAGCTTGATCAGAGTTTATTCATTACTTGTTTAATTCTCAGATTATCTAGTTTATGTTACAAGATTCAGGTTCTAAAATACCAGTTGGGGATTTGGTTAAGATTAGGTAATATTTAAGGTTAGGTTTTTGGTGGTTAATTGGAGTGTAGACTTTAGTGAGAGGTGTATAAAGTGAGGGCTAGGGAGGGGTTGGTAAAAGTTAGTCATAATTTATAGTGGGTGGTCCAACGTTTTGGCTGCTCGTGGCCGGATGCCAGATTTGAGAAATGATTTGTGGGATGGCATAAGCAATATTTTTGTGTATCCCTTTGCTGTGCGGAATATGCTGGTTGGGTGGGGGGTGGGGGGGAGGAGAGGAACCTGCTACTCTCTACGGGTTTGAGGCGGGGCACGTGAAGCAAACCAGAGCCTTCTCAGTGGAGGGAGCGGAAAGGTTGGAAGGGGGTTAGGAGGTCACAGAGGTAGGGGGGAAGCAAGGCCATGGAGAGCTTTGAAGGTGAGGACCAGGATCTTGAACTGTATCCTCCAAGCAGAGAGGCAAGCCTGGATGTAATGAAGGCATGTATGAGGATCTCGGGGGCCTGCAGGGTGAGACAGTGGCAGAGGTGGGTGATGTTACGGAGGTGGGGTAAGGCAGAGCGGGTCATGGCAAGGATGTGGGGTAGAAAGGACAGTTGAGAGTTGAACAAGACTCCAAGGTTTCCGGACTGGCTTAGCAAGGTGCAGTGAGCAACCATGGATGGTGATGCTGTCAGCGCCTGAGGCGAGGAGGCCCTGATGGGAGCCAATTAGGAGTCTCGGTCTTGTTGACATTCAAATGTAAAAAGTTAGCTCTCATCCAGGACTTGATGTCTGACAGACATTCTGTCAGGACAGCAGGACTTTAGAAAATAAACCAAAAATGACAGAAAACCAGCTAAAAGACAGTATGTCCAGCCTGTGGACATGAGCAAGTATCTCTATGTTGAGATACCAACACTGAGCAAGAGGAATTAGATGAGGAAGTGACTACAATTTTTAGACATCAAATTTCAACCTATTTTAGCATGTCTAATAGCAAACATAAGGATGACATCAAGAAACTTAAGGGTGACATCTTATGGATATCGTTAAACATTCGATGATGCTGAAAGAGATCAATACCTGATTGTTGGCCTATGTAAGCTGAGTTTAATAGTTATTNAAAAATCATATAGTCATAGCATCCAATTTCATGCACCTTAGTTTTGTCAATTACGTTTCCAGTATGTTTCATGTATAAATGAGTCCTGTAGCTCAGTGGTTAGAGCACTCGCTTTGCAAGTGAGAGACCTGAGTTCAATTCCAGGCAGAGGGCGAAACCTTGGGCAAGTTTCCTTACTCCACACAGAGCCTAATAATAATCCCTCCAAAACCCAAAACAATAATAAATTGGTCATTTTCAATCAACGACTGTTTGTGGGACATTGCTGTGCGCAATTGGCTGCCGAGTTCGCCCATAAATATACAGTCAATTCACTTTATAGTGTGTTCTGTGAAGCGCTTTGGGACGTCCTCCCGATGTGAAAAGCGCTATATCAAATGCAAGGATTATTATTATTATAAATGCATAATAATAATCACGTCTTTGAGAAATATACTGTAAAGTGATTTACTGTATATATTTTGTTGGTGAAATGCGGCAGCCAATTGCACACAGCAGTGTTCTACAAACAGTCGTGGACCAAGTGACTTGCAATCACTAGAGCACTCACATGCAAGAGGACCCAGGTTTGATTTCCAGGCAGGGTGAAACTTTCAGCAAGTTTCCTTACTCCATACACACGCCTTTGTTTACCTAGCAGTGAATAGGAACCCAATTGGTAATCTATTGTTGGATTACTTTCTGGGAATAAATAATCCTTTCAAAAAACATTTGGGCACTCAATACACAACTGTTTGTGGGACACTGCTGTGCACAATTGGCTGCAAACTTTTGCCCACTACAGTCATAAAATTTACAGTATACAGTATTTTTTGTTATACAGTAAAATTTGCAGAATGCAACATTTACACTATACAGTCACTACACTTTACAGTGTACAATATTCTGCGAAACAGTTTGTGATGACTCAATGATATGATAAACTGCTATATACAATGTAAGGATTATTGTATTTTCAGTTGAAATTCGCATTCAGAGGATAACTTGAAGCCTTTTACCGGACCATTCAAAGATTTTTTAATGCTATTAATAAAAGTGAAAAGTAGCCAACTGGACCCATTGAATGGGAAATCAATCAATCCATTTACAGTTAGGGTTAGGTTAGGTTTTTTAAATTTCAGGGGTGGTTTTACACATCTGTGCATTCCACTTGATGGAGNTTTTTTTGCTCAAATTTTCTTTGGGCTTATGAATGTATTTTCTTGCTCCAACATTTTTATTGCTCCAAATTGTATTGTACAATTGTTTGTATTGTATGGAACTACTTTTTTGATCCTTCAAGCTAGGTTTTTTCAGTGGGGATTGGGCATGATTATCTCAGCCACTTAATTTGTTTCGGGCTGGGGTTAGGAGTTACTGTTAGGGTTAGGTTTTAGGTTTGGGGAGGTTTGGGGGTTAGGGTTATGGTTAGAGTTGGGGATAGGGTTAAGGGTTGGGGGAAGGAGTTGAGGTAGGGGTATTAGAGTTAGGGTTTAGGGTTAGGATAAGGGTTAGGCTTAGGGTTTTTAAATTTCGGGTGTGGTTTTACATGTCTTGTGTTCCTGGACACTTCGCGTGTTGGAGTTTTGTCAAATTTGGCTCAGGCTCATGAATGTATTGTTTTACTCCAATTTTTTTGTATTGACAGGATCTGCTCATTTGATCTTTCAGGCTGGGTTTTTTAGTTGAGGCGAGTGATGGCTGTCTAAGCTGTTTAACTTGTTCCGGGTTAGGGTTGAGGTGAGGGTCCTGGTTAGGATTAGGGTTGAGTTCGGGAGTTAGGGTTTAAAATTAGGGTTGGGATTAGGGTTAGGATAAAGGTTAGGGTCAGGGTTTAGGGTTGGGGTTTAGGGTTAGAGATAGGGTTCGGGTTAGTGTCAGATGTTTTAAACTTTGGTGGTGGTTTTACACGTCTTGCATTCCTGGGCACTCCCCTTTTTGTCAAATTTGACTTGGGCTCATGAATTTTTTTTGTATTGAAGGCAATGTACTCATTTAATCTTTCAGGCTAGGTTTATTTGGTTGGCGCTGTCTAAGCCATTTAACTTGTGTCAGGTTAGGGTTGAGGTGAGGGTCCTGGTTAGGGTACGTGGCAGGGTCCAGGTAAATATCTGCTTTAAATTATTTTTACCCCAGGACTCGGCCTTGTGGAAGCCCTCCTCTCAGAGGTCAAGTATCCCAGTTGACCTGAACTCCTCGTTAAGTTTAGAGGTTAGCGTCTGGGATAGGTGTGAATTTCTGTTCCAATTCTTTCTACCCCAGAACTCGACCATCTTAAAGGCCTCCTCTCGGAGGTCAATCATCCCGGTTGACCTGAGACCCAGCTGAGTTCTGGATCAACCTCTAAAATACTCTTCCTTTTTGCAAAATTATCCCTATGTGTGGTTGTCTGGTTTAGACTTAGGGTTAGGCTTTTTTTTAAATTTCAGCCATGGTTTTACACATATCTTGTGTTTTCCAGGCACTCTGTGTGCTGGAATTTTGTCAAATTTGGTTGAGGCTCATTAATGTTTTGTCTTATTCCAATTCCTTGTATTGAAGGGATCTACCCATTTGATCTTTCAGGCTAGGGTTTTTAGTTGGGTTAGGACTAGGGTTACGGTTAAGGGTTTACGTTTGAGTTTAGGGTTAGAGTAGGGTTAGCATTAGGTTGAGGGTTTGGGGTTAGGGTTGGGGTTCGAGTTTAGCGGTTAGGTTTAGGTTCCCAAATAGTATTAGGTTTAGGGTTAGGGTTATACATTTCTCTGAGTCCTCTTCTCTCAAGACTGAAGAGCTTGAGCTTGTCTAGTTGTTGCTCATTCCTCTGACACTGAGATCATCCTTGTTGCTCTCTGCACTGCCTCTAGGGCCGCTCAGCCCTATTATGTTGTGACCAAAATGTGATCCACAACAGTATTTAGGATGTATCAAGACAGTAGAACAAGAAGACATAGCTTTAGAATTACAGACCAGACAGCCAATTTCAGGATAGACACCAGGATGTTTTTGCAGTGTGTAATTGATGGCTGGAACTGGTGGTAGAAGCCAGAACAATGGACTCATTGAAAGCTTAGTTGAGGAAGGGCAGGAGGAGGCTCATGTGGAGCATAAACACCGGCATAGACCAGTTGGGCCAAACGGCCTGTTTCTGTGCTCTATATTCCAATGTATTTAAAGAGCAGCTTGATGTCGTGATGGGGAACGATCAGGCGGGTATTTGAGGAATGAGATCGGATGGACCGAATGCCTTCCTCATCCAGACCTGATTTTGGGATTGTGTGTGATTTTGGTCCTTTTCAATCTGACCAAATCTAAGTTTATCTAAACAAGTAATGCTCCTAATTTGGCTTCTTCTTTTCCGGTCTCAAATTTAATTTAGTACGACACTTTGAATCACTTTTCAAATTTATGTCACTGTGCATTTTGCTTTAAATCAATCACCTGCTCTTGCATTTATTGCGAAATAATAAAATGATTCATTCATTTTATTTGTTCACCTGACTTCAACTAATGTGATTGTTGATTAGTCCCAGAGGCGTCTCACTTTGTATATAATAAGATCACTGTAGAGGCTGAACTCAGTGTAACAGCCAAAGCCAATAGCAAAGAAACCCAAACACCTTACACAGAAAATGGGAAATTCAATTCATCAATTACTAGCAATGTATCAGGTGGAATACATTTACTATCCTGTTCTTGCAGTTGTCGGCATCTCCGGTAAGTCACAACAACAATTTGGACTTCTACCCTTTTCACCTTTGGGTGAATTTCTCATAGTGCTTCACAAGCTTTGAGCTGAGAAGGGACTGGAGGAGCAAAGGGAGGTGGAGAGAGATCAGTCAAAGAGACACGTCTAGAGGATTTGAAAAGCACGGGGGGTGATGGGAGTAGTTTGGAAGAGGGTTTCAGGGAAGCAACAAGTGTTTGAAACTCACCCACAATGATGAGGCAGAGTGGCAGGGGACATGAAAATAATCTGTACGGAAAATGAAAAGGAACTGGGTGTCTTGATTGACATTAAATTTAAACCATTGCAACAGTGCTTGGTAGCAGTGAGTAAAGCAAACCAGATGCTGGGTGTATTAAAAGGGCTATATTGAGCCAAAATAGTGGGGTCATCCTGCCTCTTGAAAGATCATTGGTGTGACCGCACTTGGAATACTATGTTCAGTTCTGGTTACTGCAATACAAAAAGGACTTTGCAACGATTGAGAGGATACAGAGGAGAGCAACCAAAATGATGGAGGGACTGGATTATGAGAAGCGTTTAGGTAAACTGAGTATGTTCACGCTGGAGAAGAGAAGGTTGAGGGGCAATATGCTTACAGTCTTTAAAATTTTAAAGAGACTAGATAATGAAGACCATGATAAGTTGTTTTATTTTGTATTGAACAGTAGAACCAGTGGACACAGCCTGCGATTGAAGGGGAGTAAATTCAGAACACATATACAGAAACACTACTTAAGTGAGCGAGTAGTAAATGTATGGAGCAGGCTCCCTCGAGAGATGGTGGCAACAGAAAGTGTTGATTCTTTCAAGAACGAATGATATAGATTTCTGTTAGGAAATAATATCTGGGGATACAGTATATAGTTTGGGACACAACAAGTTAAGCGACTGCCAGGGTGGAGGAAGATAAACTTGGTCTTCTTTCAACGAGCAAATTCTTATGTTGTTATGAAGCAGGCAAGAGTTGACCTTAAAATCCGATTAAAAAGAAAACTTGTAGAAAAAGCAAGTGGGAGCATCATGTATGGTCAATTTCCAAGAGAAATTAAAGAACAAGGACTAGGCATGAACCAAAGCTACAACTGTGCGCAATTGGCTGCCGCGTTCGCCCACAAATATACAGTCAATTCACTTTACAGTGTGTTCTGTGAAGCGCTTTGGGACGTCCTCCCGACGTGAAAAGCGCTATATCAAATGCAAGGATTATTATTATTATATTATTATTTACACTCTGCAGCATTAAACCTTCACTGAATCTCTTGATGTTTTATTTTTAGGAATGGGACTTTTAGATGCACAGCAATGCACCTACTTCCAAAATTCTATTTGTCATTGCAAAGGTTACTTCTGTGTGGAGAGGAAATGGAGAGGATGTGAGACGTGCAGAAAGCACAGCCTGGGTCCTGTAGGTGAAGGAGTTAAAAAGAAAGGTAAGGTGCAAGATTAAAGTTTCACTGTGAATCCGCTTGACTGGCTCTGGCCTCCTGCAAGTCCCTCATGCCCTCCGTTCTACCAGCAGTGGCCGTGCTTTCAGCCACTACTCCCCGAAACTCTGGAACACTCTTCCTCTACCCCTGCGCCTTGCCCCGTCCTTCCCATCTTCAGATTCGCACCTGAAGACTTTCCTCTTCAACCGTGCCTGCAGTCACCTCCCCTTGCTCGGTGTCATGCTCCACCACTGTCAAGCGCTCTGGGACGCTGCCCTGCGTGAAGGGCGCTATATACATGCAAGTTGTTGTTTGTTTCTGTGATCATAGGAATTATTCTCATGTTTATGATACAATGTGCTTCACACAGTGTGGCTGTGCTTCACAGGGAACTGCCTTCCTCCATAATGATACAGGCCGCTCCCTCACCCCCAAGTCAATGCAGTCAGTACTAAATTGGTTGGTGTTCAAACACAAACAACAAGGCCCTCCTCCAACCTTCAGTCGTGACAAACACTGTTGTCAGAATAGGCTGTAAAATAGTAACAGTCTCTGTCAAAGACTCCTTCACAAGGCAAACTTAGCTGAGTTAAGATTCTCCAATATTCTGTGGTTGCACATGTATTTTCAGGAACAATCTGGGAAGACTATGTGTATGAAACGTGTCCTCATGGAACATATTCAGATAATGTTTCTACTGAAGAGTGTAAACCATGGACTAAGTAAGTACTTTATAACTAATCTGGGAATCTAGAATTAAATGCATTGCAAATGTTAACAATGACAATACATTACATTTGTATAGCGCCTTTCACGTCAGGAGGATGTCCCACCAGAAAACAGGAATTGTGGCTCGGCACAGGGTACTGTACAACTCAGATGTTTCTGAATATTCCCCAAAATTACAACAAACATTACCAGGGAAAGTTAAGAGATTGGTTAAATTCCTATTTAATGCAATTGAGCAAAAAGCTGGCTCCTGACGTTAATAATAATCCATTTAGCCCCAAAGTACCAACAGTGAGTGTAACTAAAACTGAAGTAGAGTTAGAAAGACATTCATAAAGAATTAATCCCTAAATGTGTTGGGATAAGTCATGGACAAAAATCTATAGATTTGTCTAATTAATTATTCTGCTTTTCCCCAGATGCAAAGAATTGAACAAACTTGTGGTTAGACCAGGAAATGCTTCCATGGATGCAGAGTGCAAAGAGAAGATAAACATAGCACATATATTGCTTATTGTAATACCTGTAATGACTGTAGCGATTGGTGGTGTCCTTGGAATTTTGTACTGGAAGAGACGAGCTGTGAGAAAGCATACAGGTTTGTGGCTTTAATACTATTGTTTTCTGAACCAACATATTTTTATTCTTTGTAATGTATCAGTCAAATCAGAAATATTCTTCTTCCTTAGACGGGTGTTGGACTCACACGGATGCCGACCAGGCCAGAAAATACTGTCATCCAAGTGACACACAATGTCCAACTTCAGGCCCCTCAGTCCCTCCCCCAACAGCGAGTGATCCTCTTATGGCAGCGTCAGGAACTGAAGGTCAGTAAAGGGACCTGTTTCCCGTCCCTCAGCTCGAGAGGGATTTCCTGACACACTGCAGCGCATTGAGCTTCGGGAGTAACAATACCAGCCGTTATTGAGTCTCGTCAGGAAGCCCCTCCCCAGCTGAGAGGAGAGGAATTGAGACAAAGAGTGTGTGAGAGAGGGAGGGGAAGAGAGCGTGAGGGAGAGAGAGAGAAACAACCACTTGCATTTATATAGCGGTCTTCACGCGGGGTAATGCTTGACAGTGGGGGAATCTGACACCGAGCCGGGGGAGAGGGAGGGGGGAGGTGACCGTAGGCACAATCAAAAAGCAAAGTCTTTTCTAGGCAGGATTTGAAAGTGGGGAGGGAGGGGGCAAACCGGAGGAAGTCGAGGAAAAGAGTTCCAGAGTTTCGGAGCCTATTGGGTGAAGGCACGGCCACTGATGGTGGAGGGGACGAGGGACAAATGAGGCTGGAGCTGGCCGAGCGGAGGCAGCAAGTGGGGGTGTGGCGGATAAGCAAATTGGAGAGAGGGAGGTGCGAGGCAATGAAGGAATTTGAAAACAAATGAGAGGATCTTGAAATCTGTTTGGTAATTGGGAGCCAGTGAAGCCTGGAAAGGACTGGGGTGATGGGGGTAGAGAGTTTTGTGCTGGTGAGTATCCAGGTGGCGGAGTTTTGAATTGAATCAACAGAAAGGGAGGGAGAGGTGAGAGAGAGAGGGATTCCGAGAGAGAGACTGAGAGAGACGAGGAGAAAGGGCGATAGAGTGGGAGCGAGTGATAGAGAGAGGAAAGAGGTGATTGAGAGAGAGCGCACGAGAGAGGTGGGGAGAGAGAGAAAGTAAGGGTAGGTAGCGTTTCACTGTTGGCACAGATGATCAGAGCCTCCCTCGGCTGATGTGGGGGGACTGCGATCAGCAAGATCCATCTTTCCCCAGGAGAAACTCCTCTCTTGTGATCTCCTGCCCAGCTGTTCCCTTTGCCCAGCAAACACCAGTTTGCTTCATGTCCACCCACCCCATCTGCCACACCATTGCCATTTTGCTCACACTTTCTGAAACTCCATTCATGAAGTCCCTCCGAATCGCTCCCTCCCCTCCTTCAAACCACATCAAGAACTCTTTGACCGGACTTTCATTCATCTTTTCTCTTCCTACCCCACCTCCCTCGGCTCTCACCCCCAGCTCAGGTGTCCAGCCAACAGTGTCAAGAGCTTTGAGACATCTTTCCTATGTGAAAACAGTGTTGTAAAAATCTTGTTTCTGGAAGAGAAACACAAAAATATTGCTTATGTGACCCACAGACATTTATCAAATACGGCATTCGGCCCTCAGCAGCCAAAAGATTGGACCATCCTGTCCTTCATGAAGGAGGTTAAAAAAAATTCCCTGCCCTTTTGCCATTTCCCTTAATACCTCTACTAACATATCTGCTTAACTTCCTTTCAAACATTTGCTGAACATTTTAATTACTGACTCCAGTAGATTTGTTTTTTGTTTTTTTGTGTTATCATAAATTGGCATATAGCCCAAGGACTTGGAAACTGTAATGAATTGGTGCATATTCTTTCTGTTAACTGACCTGTATTTTTCTTGCAGCAAATGATGTTGACAAAACACGATTAGGAAACAATCAGAAAGAGGTACATTAAATGTTACTATCTTTATGTAGTGCTATGTGTAATGTATTGTCTAAAAACTTGATTTCAAAATTATAAAGATAAAATAGTGACATTCTAATGCTGCGATAAGGATTATTATCCACATAAAAAATGATCAGTAATTCTAAGGTAACTTAGTTAATTCCTTTTTTTTCTTTTGCAGGAAAATGTGAATTTGTCGATACAAATCTCTAATGAACGTCATGATTCAGGAATTGGTAGTTCAGATACCAGTCATAGGACTAACTTAGAAAATATTGAAGAAGGAGCAGCAAACACCTGAACTACAAGATCACTCATGGAGTGGGTTGGAAGTGCTTGGATTGACGTTTGTGGAGCGTCAGACATTCTCAGGGCATTTGAAATGAAATGTGTGCAGATCTTTCGTCGATGGGCAGCCGGAGGAGCAGACGCCAGGGCAGATACAAGGAAAGGTGATGGAAACCAACTCACTGGACTCATTTAAAAGGCAGTTTGAGGTACTGATGGGCTTTGAAGGAGGCAAGGGAGCGGGCGAGGCGAAGGGACTGTGGGATGGAGTTTCAAAGAGTATGGGGCAGAGAGGCTGAAGGCCCAATGGTGGGCCGTACTGGGACATGGAGTAGGCCGGAGCCCACTGAGCAGAGTGAACGATATGTTGTGGAGGTGGGGAAGCAGAACGGGCCATGGCACAGAGGACAGCTGAGGGTCAAATAAGACACAAAGATTCCATCCAGTTTCAGTGAGTTCTGCAGTGCATCTGTGCATTGTGATGCTGTCAGTGTGGAGGTGCCGATGGGAGCCAAGCAGCTACATTTGCTATATCTGTTGTACATTATTTTTCTTGCACTTATATAGTGCCCTCCACTCAGGGCAGTGCACCCAGAACACTTTAAAATCCTTTTTAAAAGAAGCAATATACATTTTTATACCTGATCATGTGAAGAAACTGATTTACTGTCAACAACTGTGTGAAAATAAATCTCCTAAACTCTCCTTACGCTCTCCTTGTGACTATCATAACTACAGCGGCCAATAGTCACTGACTCCCCTTCCAGTGGAAAAAGCTTCTCCCTATTTATCATGTCAATTTTGTACGCCTCTATTAGGTCCTCTCAATATTTCACTGCTCCAATGGAAATAGATACAACTTCTCCAACCTCATAACTAAAGCTCTTCATTATTATTTTGAATAATATAGCATAAGCTTTGTCCCCCGGTCAAAGCTTCAACGTCTTTCCTGAAGCTAGGTGCTTAAAACTCCAGTTGCTTTGTATAGACTTAGCATTATTTGCTTTGTGCTGTACGTCCCTATATATAAAACCCAGAATACTATTTAGCGTTTTGTTTTTAACCACAGCCCTTTCCAGTTGTGTTACCGCTTTCAAAGACTTGTGGTGCTGTCCTCCCAAGTCTCTTTGCTCTCTCCAAGACGCCGCCATTCAGTATATAATCCCTTCATTATTTCTGCCACTATCCCCGACCTCTGGAACCCCCTCCTCACCCATCTTTAGATTATATCTCCCTCTTTAACCGTGGCCTGTGGTCACCCCCACTCCTCTCTCTCTATCGCCAAACCTGCCACTCGGGGTCAAACGCGGCTGCTATTGAACGATCGGAGTTGCCACCCGGTGTGAAAGGTGCCGTGTAAATATGAGTTGTTGATGTAGATGTTCCTTACTCCACACGCCTCTGGTTACCCGGCAGTCAGGAACCCAGTTTGTCGATTGGCAGATCAGTTTCCGGGGGTAATAATCCCGTTAGGTGCAGATGCCAACCAACACACCTGGCCCAGGGGCTCCCTCCCCGCTTCCCTCACACACAGCCTGAGAGAGAGCGAGAGGCTTATATCGAGCCCGAGGCTTTCCGGCGCTACCCCTCGGGCTGGGCGCACGACCACTGGTGAGTGATTCCCTGCGGGAGATGTGTTTGCTACCAGAGGGCACTGTACTGTTGTTACTAATGTGAGTCAATCCCCAGAACAGTGGGGACATGCGCAGCGATGTATCCCGTTTCACTTGATGTCTCGGATAGTACAAACCAGAGGAGCTGTACACAGGAGGCACTTTCATTGACCGCTGAGTGCAGATTATAGTTCCATCCAGAGCTCAGCACCATCCTGACAATCTGGTCGAGATTTGAGGAACGTTGATTTCTCCTAATGAGGTAAGTAAAAACAAATCCTTGACAATAAAAGTTTGCTCTTCAGAAGTTCAGATTTCCACTGCTAACTTTGTACATTGTAATAATGTTGCATCCCCTCAGTTTGTTTTGTGTGTGACATTTCAGGGGGTGGAGGTAGGACAAAGTGCTGAAGTTTAAAAAGTAAAAGCTGATTACGTTATACATCTTAGTTATACAGAATGAAAGGGTTTCAGTTCACTAAGGTGCCCGACAGTTAAAGTAAATGTGTTCTTCCCAACCCCCAGCTCGGTTGCAAATCCTTGACTGTCCAGCGCCTTGGGATGTCCTCCTGATGTGAAAGGCGCAATACAAATGTAATTTATCGTCCTTCTTCATAAGACCTGTTTACTCTCAATGAGAATCGTTTGGGGGGGGGGTGGGATTTGACAAATGGAAGAAAAAAGCCCCGCCCCAACACCATCCCCCAGCCCCACCCCCGCCCCCAGCCCCGGGTACTGGTTCTCGTGCGAAATCTGCGGCAAACGGTTCGAGAAGAAGGACAACGTTTCCGCCTACAAGAGCCAGAGCCACCCGGATGCCTCGCCGGCTTCTGTCACCCTGTCAGTCACCCCCCTCCCTACCCCTGGCCCTCACCCCCCCAGCCTCTGTCACCCTCTCCGTCACCCACTCTGCACTCCCCACCACCACCCCAGCCTCTGTCATCCTCTCCGTCACCCCCTCTGTACCCGCACCCCCCAGTCTCTGTCACCCTGTGAGTGGGGAGGAGCTGTGGGTGGTGGTGGGGGGGCTGTGGGTGGAGTTCCTTGTGCTGTTACTGTAAATAAATCAGCGTCAATGTGTTTCTGTCTCAACTTCGTGCCACTGCGATCACAATCACTGACACTCACATACACACACTCACTATCACTCACTCACTGATTAACAACAACAACAGTGATGTATATATCGTCTCCGCACCGGACGGTGTCTCAGAGCTTCACAGTAACACATCTCGGGGGAGGAGACGGGGCCGGGGGAGAGGAGCCAGGGGAAGGGGAGGAGACAGGGAGGGGCCAGGGGAGGAGATGGGGAGGGGCCAAGGGGAGGAGATGGGCCAGGGGTGGAACCAAGGGGAGGAGACTGGGAGGGAACGAGACTAGGCCAGGGGGTGGAGATGGGGAGGGGCCAGGGGATGAGGGAGGGGCCAGGGGATGAGGAAGGGGCATGGGGATGGGGAGGGACCAAGGGACATGGGGAGGGGCCAAGGGGGAGGGGCCACGGGACAGGGGGAGGGGCCAAGGGACAGGGGCGAGAGTCCCCAACCACTTTATCACAAACTTTCTCTCTATCACACCTCTCTATTGCAATCTTTCTCCTCTCTCACACCTATTAGTGTTTGTGATCTGATTTGATGGTGTCTCTGAAACATTCAATGGGAAATTCTAGGAAAGTGTGAATGCTCTAAAGTAATGAATATAAACCCTGTGAATTCTCTGAACTAGCCAACAGCCCATGTGATGATACTGACTGTTCGCAGCTGTGAAGGGTTAGGGTCCCTTCAACTGGACCGTGTGAGGAATGTGATTCGCTCATTGGCCACATGTCAAACCTGAACCTTTGGGTATTGAGCCTGAGCTCAGTCAAACCATTGGAGGAAGGAGTCACCCCATTAGCCCAGAGAGAGCAGATGAGTTGCTGGAGGCTTGTGGTTCAGAGCAGTGAAATGGTCAGTTTGCGTGTGATGGAGCTTGGCTCAGGCGTCTCTCTGTGGACTATAATCAGGTAAGTCTGTATTTGTGAGAACCTTCTGGTGGGCTGTAAATTGTCAGGTAATGTTTGTGAAGGGAAGTTGTCCAAACCTTGGGTGTTGTCTGTCCCGTGAGCTTCAGAGATATTATCACTGTCAATTGTGAACAACTCTTGGCCAGTTTGGCTTCTCCTTTTATTGTGTTATTTGTCTCAAAAACAATTGGTATTTTGTTAATATCTGGAGTCTGTAGACAACTCCCACCAGAGTCTTCCCTCCTTTGCTGTTCTTTAATTCTACCCATAGTGTTTCTGTGGCCTGATCACCTTTACTAAAGTCCTTTCTATCTATAATAATAATAATCCTTGCATTTGATATAGCGCTTTTCACGTCAGGAGGACGTCCCAAAGCGCTTCACAGAATACACTGTAAAGTGAATTGACTGTATATTTGTGGGTGAACGCGGCAGCCAATTGCGCACAGCTATGTCCCACAAACAGTCGTAGATTGAAAATGACCAATTTATTATTGTTTTTGGTTTTGGAGGGATTATTATTAGGCTCTGTGTGGAGTAAGGAAACTTGCCCAAGGTTTCGCCCTCTGCCTGGAATTAAACTCGGGTCTCTCGCTTGCAAAGCGAGTGCTCTAACCACTGAGCTACAGGACTCCACCGTTATACTCCATACTGTTATACTTGAATGTTATCCATATTGCTCCCCTCCATTCCCAATTTCCCTATCTTTTCTGAAGAACTTACAGCCTGGAATTTTAGCTCCCAGTAATGCCCAACTTGTAGCCAGGTCTCTGTAATGGCTACTGCATCAGACGCTTTAAGCTAAATTTGTGTTCTTAACTTGTTTTATTTTTATAATATGTGTATTTGTCACAGACACTTATTGGGTAACTGTCCTCACTTGCCCATAAGCCCAATAGTGTTTTTCTTGCTTTTTTGTGTTTATTTTCTTAAACTGTTTCTTTTTCTGGAGCAACTCAGTTAATTATCACTTTTGGTTTTCTAACCTTTGCTCTTCTCTCAGTATTTAGTTCTGTTGTTTCCGCTTCAGTCAGAGGTTGTCCTGGAGCCAGTCTGCTTTTTACTTTTACTTTTGAATGCTGGTCTAATGTTTGTTCACAACAGATGATCACTGGGTATTCATACATCAATGAACTTTGGAGACCTTGTTGCTATCCATCTCGGATTAATGTGAACATCTCTTGACCTGTCCGACTTTTCTTTGTATTGTGTAACTCGTCTCAGATGGTGATGACAGAATCACTGTATTATTTTGCAGTGTTAGTCTTTAAACCATCATCTAGATTTTGGTCAAAGACATCCAACTAGGAATTGTTTGGAGATGAGATGCAGCTGAAAATTGTGGGAGATGTAAGTGACTAATGGGCTGAGCTCAGTTGTTCGGTGGAGTGCTGTAGCTCAGTGGTTAGAGCACTCGCCTTACAAGCAAGACACCTGGGTTCAATTCAGGGAGGGCGAAACCTTGGGCAAGTTTCCTTACTCCACACACCTAATAATCCCTCCAAAAAACAAAACAATAATAAATTGATCATTTTCAATCCACGACTGTTTGTGGGACGCTGCTATGCGCAATTGACTGGTGTGCTTTGCCCACAAATATATGGTCAATTCACTTTAC